GATCTTCTCCCGAACGAGTTTTCCTAGAGATTCGTTGCCTCCACTCATTCGTCGGTCAAATCCAAGCAAATGTTACAAAGTGGCCCCACGAATTCTGCAACAGAATTCCCTTTTTCCATCGGCCCAAAGCGAAATTCTACAAAACATACATACTACTCGCGTGCCTCCCGATCAGTAGTATCACCGTTACACCACATGCACAGTTTGAATCTCACAAGGTTACTGCGGCAATCAAGAACAACAATGAGAATGAATGACCTCGAAAGGGCTTCGCGCACAAACGTAAATGCATACTTGTGTGTTTGACCAATTCTCTCTGAACAGAATTCAGTATTGATGCCATTGGCCATTACACGGAAGAGAATCTAAAAATATGTTGAATGAAAGCACTGGACGGTGCGGCGGAAGGTAAAACGCTCGTAATTTTACTGCTAATGAATGCCTAGCGATTGACACTAATAGAGTAGGCCACGTAAGCAAAGCACAAAATCCATTCAACGTATCGTCGTTTAGAGGAGAGTCAAACCAAAGTGCTGAAAACAAACTCAATAAGGACCTAAAGAGAAGCAAATATATCCAAAAGTGACAGCATAAAATGTTGCGAGAAAATGGTGCATTGTCTAGATATTGCACTCTTTGGTGTAGAAATATGTGCGATCGATGTTAATGTTAGTAACTCAGTTTGCCCATTGATGTTGTTCTGTTTGCATTGCTAGGCAAATGTGTTTGTAAGTGTCTCTTCGCCAACTGAGTTAGTGCGTAGTGAATCAGTAGTATGCCGTATTATTTGTACCGTGGGGAGTGTTGTGCTTGTGCGTATGCCTCTGCTATTTACGGATTTGGGGGTGAAGTCTGATTAACACCGTTTGTTTGGATGGTTGGTCTAGTTTGCTGGTTAGCCGCCTGGCTTTCTTACTGATTGCCGTCCGAATGACGTTAAAAGATTGCTTGATTTCGTAAACTCTACGTTGTCCAGATTGAATTTCTACTCCTCGTTAACTCCGCTTATTGAAAACACAGTGAGTGAACCATGCCTTCTAATTGTTGCATTGTGTTATCTCAACTCTCCACTTCAGTATACGGCAGCGGAGCATCGGTGGTGAGCACTGGTGGAGCACTGTCGATGATGATGATGATGTCACTTCAGTTTCCCCGTTTGTTCAACCGGATATCTGTGGTAGTCTGCGCTGTCACTTCCTCAAACAAAATTGTTTATGGTATTGTGGTCATATTCTACTTTGGTCTTTGAGTTGACTTCCTCAATGTAGCTGTTGGTTTGTGAACTATCAGCATTCCTTTTGGCTCTGGTGGCCGTGCTCTGAATTCAGGTGGGTTTCTGACGGTGAGTTTGCTCATCTACCGATGTTGTAGCTTTGGTTGTTGCTTCGATCAACGTTCATTTATATCATGTTTGACCTCATTAAATGTATTTGTGAAACATCATTTCCGATTACTCATTCTGGATGACAATTGAATCCTTTAAGGCCCCCGTATTCTATCAGATGATTCAGCTTAATTTGCGGAACTCAGACAGAAGGCTATAATCATATTACCTCTAGACGTTCTATCATGCCAAAGTTGTCTGTTCACTTACGCTATCTCCATTATACTCAAAGGAATGTCTGAGTGCTTTTTCTTCAGTCCACAGCGGTCTCAGTGATGCTACTGATGGTTCAGAAGTTTGCTGAGGTACTTGTTTCATGTGTGTATTATTGAGATTAATCTTCACCATCCTATGGCAGCATTCTGGATATTTTGGCTAGACTGAATCCAGGGACTGCATCCACTGCATGTAGCTCGAACCCTTGCGTATATTAAAAAAACAGGGCTGTATACCTTTCCAATTCCTCCGCTATTTTTTGGCTGTTGGCAGCTAGTACTGATTAATCCTGTTTTAAGAAATGTCTGAAATGCGTGTATCACGTATATTTAAGATACAAGTGTTAGGCAGAATTCCACACGGATCCCGCAATACCACACGTCTTTAGGCGCTGCTACGGCCGATAAGCCTGGCCCGCACGAGATTGGTCGAGAATTCGGGACGCTTGCCGGTCCGGCATCAAGACAAGATCTGATTGGTAAAAAATCTGGACCCAACAGCCAATCATGACCCAGTATTGGCCAAATGCCAGTTGTCAATGGCGCATCCAGAACGCGTCAGAACTTCCAGAAGGTTATAACCGCTTACGCTATATATACGAAGCACTGTACAACTGTTCTTGACTTCGTTTTGGGCATTAATAGACCTTGTGCCCATTTGGTGTTTGTTTTGACGTGAACGCTAGCTTGGGAGGCTCAGACCGAGAACCGTTACTACAACAAGCAAGTTCAAATCTGTGCAGAAACGGTCAATCTCTACAATAAGTTTTCACGATGAATACAGAATAAAAATATGCAGATTGTGATTCAACTCTATCAAGATATTTCAGATTCATTTATCCGGAAAGACGATACACGGATTAAGGTGGGGTTGAGAATAATCCAGTTTATGCGGATATCAGTGCCTGCAACTCAATATAAACTCCGTATTTGTCTGTACTGTGCCGAAAGTGGAAAAAATACATTGGTATAAATGGCATTCACCATTTTTTGTTAGTGCAAAAGGATCTGTGAATTTCCAAAGGAAATTTCATCGCGTAAGTCAAGCCAATCCGTGTTGAACGCCAGGATGCACAGTGCATAATATCAGCCGTATGTGATGACAAGCTGTTTTTCAAAGTAGTCATATTTTATCCCTGCCCATGTAACTGCAAGCCTCTGGAGCTTAATGACATGACCCATGATCTCTCGCATCTCATGGTTAATGTGACCGATAAAGTACATCATCTCCTATGTTCGCGCATTCTAAGAGTGAAGTGTAAAGAAGGATACATGAACTAGCAATGACACACGCTCCAGGCCTACCTTCAGCTAATCTGGAAGAAACAGCAGGTGGCTCAACAGCATACATCACTATAAATGATACATTGGTGAATTCATGTTCTATGCATTATCGTCATGCATGCTAAGAGCCATGTTGGTATCAAAAGTTACTGCACCCTAAGCTAATATCCACTGGTAAATATAAAACCATCATGTCCCGAAACATTTTTGAGCGAATCTGTTCCAGTTTCAGTGCGCGTAAATAGCAGACAATACTCCGTTCCTTCAGAGGAGAACGTCCGCAAAACCTATTCAAATCACTACCCAAGTTCAAAGAACCATCAGCACGAAACTCATCGATACTGCAGTAAACTACGCAGGTAGCGTGAACCCACACATGTTCCTCTGCGGACTGTTAATTTCTAGTGTAAATATCTGGGTTTTGTTAAGCAAATGTTTCGCAGAATTTTGTTCACAGTTATAGCCACAACATGATGTTAATATCGACTTTTGAATTATAATTAGTTAACTATAGAGGAAAATGTCGGTAGCTCAGGTAGCGTAGATGGTGGTCGTTGGCTGGTTCGCTGGTGGTTGTGCACAACCACCAACCCACCGCTACACACTCCTACGCTCCACAATAACGCACTGATGATGTCACCTGGATTGGTGATGAAACGTTTGCAATCAAATTGTCCAGCTCAGCGAACAAGCCAACGACCAGATGAGAAAATGTTTACGGGACCAAAAGTTCGTGTAAAACGTCCAGCAACAAACCATTAAATTCTGATTTTCGTTAGCACAAATCTGCTGGCAAAGTAAAATAGCCTTTAAAATTGATTTTCTGACGGACATTTTGCTATGTAAAATATTTTAAGAGCATAGCAAAACAGTACGCACTGGCATGAATGCATGTTCTATGCATTATTGTCATGCACGCTAAGAGCCAATCCGACACAAGAACTCACTGCACTCTAAGATAGTATCCACAGCCGACTGGTAAAAATAAAACCACTACGTCTCGAAACATCTCTGATAGAACCTGTTCCAGTGTCAGCGCCAGTAAATAGCAGATATTATTCTGTCCGCACAGAAGAGAACGTCTGCAAGACGTACTTCAATCCCTACCCAAGTTCGGAGCACCTTCAGCACAAAACGCATCGCTGCTGCACCAAACTGCACAGGCACCGTGAACCCACACATGTTCCCCCTCAGACTGTTGGTGTCTAGTGTAAATATTTGGAATTTTTGTTCGGCATTTTTTCGAAAAGTTTTGTTCCCAGTTATAGCCACAACATGATGCTAATATCGACTTTTGAATTCTAATTAGGTACCTCAATAAGAAAATTCTGAGTGTGTTCCATAATGAAGAAAAAGACAGCGGACGTCCAAATTAGACACTGAAATCACACGGACCGCAGTGTTTTTTTGCCAGAAACCATCCGTTGTAAAGCATGCTCAATACGAAACAAGAAAAATATTGCCTTTCCCATAGATACCTCTGTTTTTTTATCCTGCGCATTGACAACTCTAAACGCCTGCGCTCAAGGCATAATGAAAGTATTTTTTGGATGTTTGAAAACAATTCAGCGGGATACCAGTCCAAAAACAAAGCTTCGGATTTTACTGGAATCCATCTCTCAGGCGCTTAGTCTTCTGATGGACGGAAGAGCCTCCGGTTCATCAAAGTACCTCTGCGGGACTCCATAGTATCTGCGAGTATTCTTGCGTCAAACAGCTCATTCTCTGGCTGCAGCGGAGAGAAAATCTAATTGGCAACCTTCCGCACTTAATGTAGGGTTAGCGAATATACACTCATTTGCAAACCAATTTGGTTGTTTCGATAAACTCACCTGGAACCCAGCTGAATCTCTCGTTTATGACGTTCTCAGGCAACTGAGTGTGCTGCACCAGGCCGCCTCATGTTTCAGTCGCTACGATATTTGAAATATCGCAATACATGTATATCTTTGTAATGTACTACTCATAAGAACATCATAAACAAGAGATTCAGCTGGGTTCCAGGTGAGTTTCTAGAAAAAACCAATTGTTTTGCAAATGAGTGTATATTCGCTGATTTCGTGCAATTTGGTTTCAAGTATAACATAAGGTTGACGGAAACCCGGGGACTGCGCCTACCTGATGAGCTTCAAGAAGGGCGAAACCGGTCGTGGGCCGTCGATGGATTTTCAGCAACCTTATGGGTAGTACATTACAAAGATATTTATGTAGGGTTGTTTAACCTTTGACTAAAAGTCTTTAAAAGGTATCATCAAGACATAAGATACTGAGGTACTGTAGTCCATCACGAATGCCAAAATACTGCCCGAGAGAGGGGAAGCTGTTGTTCAAAAATCAAACCAAATAAGGAATATTTCAGATAATTTATGTCAAAATGTGTGCGCTTACTGACGGAGACGTCCGTATGTCAAGACCGTTTCCCACGTATTTCGATCGCCTTGGAAGCTGGTCCCCGAAACATTGGTCGTATGAGTCAATTTCAAACGTCCATCTGAGCATTGACAAAGTAATCCGACAAGTGGTGTAACGGTGAAACTACTGATCGGGAGGCATGCGAGTAGTATGTGTTGTTCTTAGAATTTCGCTTTGCGTCGACTGAAAAAGGGAATTCTGGTGCGGAATTCGTGGGGCTACTTTGTAACATCTGCTTGGATTTGACAGACGAATGATTGGAGGCGACGAATCCCAAAAAGACTTGTTCGGGAGAAGATCTGTGTCCAGTTTTTTGTAACTAAGAAGCAGATTAGAGTTTTGCTTCCCTGTTCAATGGTCAGTTGGCCTTTCCGAATAAACTCCGCAGCGAAGGCCTTCTTCCTTTCAGTGGTATTTAGTATCGGGTGGGTTTTCCGCTAGACACACGTCCCGTTTATCCAGACCCCAGGGTTAGTGTTGGCAAACGCGTATATACCGCATAATCCGAGAAGTAGATTAAACTTGAAATTCGTGATCCGGATGCCGTGACATACGAGAACGAGTGCTGGCCACACAGAGTGATATCTAGTCACACCTGCTTCCAAGTCTCTTACCACTAATGCGTTATCACACTTTGCAAGGCAATAATTAATAATATGATGTCGTATTCTGTATGCTTGTTCAAAGCAAAGCTTTGGAACATATCCACTAGCTCTGACTGCATCGATTCAACTACAAAGACTCATTTACAGTAATAAAAGACCTGATTTGCTTTTTTGGGGTTCGAAAAAATGGATAGTTTTGGCTCGGTTGAATAGAATGAAACGGATACGGTGAGTTATTTGTTCACCTCTTAAGGAGATGATTTAATGGGTGTATGGGCACGGCCATTCAAAGACTTCTGTGATCAATCAACCACATTTTCATCAGGGCCCCAACTCTAATTCCATAGATCTCGCAACAAGGACCATCGATTTGGTTATTCATTCAACCCAGCAGACTGTCCAACGGTTAGTGCCCGCCTGAAAGCTGCAACCGCTTCCGATTAACATGTGAAAGATAGGATTTGGTATGCACCGTTTTCCCACCTTTTCACGAAGAATGGCTGTGACCGCTCAATCTCAGTTTACCTCTTTTTTAGCGAAAAACCTAGCCTGTCGAAATCATTATCAGTACCGTCAAATTTCTTTCGAACGCACATAGCAAACCCGGTCAGCTAGCTACGGACGTGGAACAAAACGCCGAGAGTCTTTTGTTTGTTCTCCTAGTTGACAAACTGTTGTATGCACCTAGTTGCAATTGATTCTACAAGCACCCGACGCCTAGACTGATATCAATCTGTGTGCATCAACTATTCATAAAGCAAAATCACTCCTCCTTGGGCGCCCGTGGGAAAACTCACATCTTGAAAAGTGTTAAGTTTACCTACTGCCATCGTCCAGTCAGTTCGGTACTTCGAATATTGTGCCCTGTTTTATGATACCGCTCCTGCAAGCTTTCACAAATCAAGCCTTTTGTATCGACGTATGAGGACATATGAGAAGCTGCACTGGGCGTCTGACTTCTAGCCAGTAATGTTGAGCAACTAAAGTCTGACGGAGACCGCATGTTTCTGTAGTACGTCCTTATATATCGAACATCCCACTGACAAAGAGTGATACACATCTACGCTTCGACAAGCCATGCATGCAGACACATCATCCTCCAAACAAAACTACCACCCCATGAGGTGATCGTTGAGTTCGGCGTTTCCTAATTATCCTCAGCTGCCCATCAAATTTTGGCAATCACAATCAGTCTGGTTCACACGAGCGTTCCGTATTTCTGTTGCCTCCCAATGTTACATTGAGCTTTTATCCGTGTTCAAAGTGAGCATGACAAATTTGCACAATTTCTCAATTAGCTGAAGTATCACTTAGCTGTGCGATCAGCTGTGCATTTCACGGTCTCCAAAACCACTGTATGCTTGTTTCAGTTTTGCGTCATGTTGTTTGGGAGTTTAATCCTGGGTGTGTGAACTGACTGGATACTCCATTCAACTGCAGTATTTAGATATGTCACACCGGCAGCGTCAATTTTCCTGTTTTGTCAGTCTGATGGTTACGTAATTTTTGGTGACATTAGGTGGTCTTCAACGACAAAGCACGCTTTCGCTTCTCATTGACTGGTAGCGACACAAAACGATTGACTTGAAGGATGCTACACTTGGCCGTCATGAAAACCACTGAAGAACCTGTCAATTGTGGACTTATCACCGCCTGGACGGTAAGCAATAATCAATTCCATTGTCACTTTAAATGCATTCTAATGACCTAAGACGGGAACCAGAATGAAGGAAACAAAAGGAAGAAAGTTGTTGAACACAAGAGGTTTACTTATGCTCATTGACAATTCCCAATCCATTTAACCCTCCTGCGTCGTCCAGTTAGCCAAAGAAATCTCTTCTATTTTTCACTATCCTCTTGTCCCTATGTCCTCTTCTCTATTTTCGTCAATTCCTGCATCCGATTCTCCTTCCTCTTGTCCTTACCTTTCATCTTCTTCCCTCTACTCTTCTCTCCTCGTCTGACTATCTTCCCTTTCCTTTATCTCTAAATCTTCCTCGGCATCTTTCTCGCCCCTTCATCCAAATCATCGTCCTAAACGACTGCAAAATCTTCAGTTTTCTCTTGATTTTTCATGTTTTTGTCATCCTTTGCATTCTCTTTGTTCTGTTGTTTTCCTAATAATTGCAATTCGTTTTTGGCTTTCAGTAAATAGGTATTTGTTAATAATTTGTTAGAGGTTAGACCTATGTGACATATATCGGCATGTGTACACAAATCAATTTTTGAATACATTTCTAGGCTCAATTTTGCCTTACTGAGCATTTGGGGATTCCTACTTATGATACTGATTCAATTTGGATTTTTGGTTTTCTTAAGCTCTTTGTAGCGTTCAAAAGGTTTCCCGTTTACCGAATACTTCGTTTATTCAGTTATCATCTAGTAAAGCTGCTGAGAGTTGAGTCCAAATCGTCAGCTGTGGGGATGAGTATGTTTTGCTACCTTTCCCAGTCCGGATTTCCCCCAAAACCACTGCTAATTCGGATAGGTAATTCTGATATGCCAAGTCATCACAGGGATCACATCAGCTCTCCATATCCTTAATTTGATCAAGGAGAAACACCATTTTGTCGCATCATTAGAAAAAGCTCAATAGTCCAAGGCTCAGAAAAGTTTGACAAAATGACCCTGTAGGCAAACCCTCACCACTAGACGTGTTTATTCAACGTAAGTGTGACGCTGACATTCAGAACAATTTATTTGATTGTCTCT